CACACACACACACACACACACACACACACACACACACACACACACACACACACCGTCCATGGAGGCCTACTCCAAATTTCTTCGAAAACCCGAACTGCATCTTCACCAAGTTGCAGAGCACATGCAAGGATGGGGACAATCGCCTCCTCAACAGCCTTGTCATTGAGCTCCATGAACTGTGACCCCCCCGCCTTCAGCGAAACGAGCTCCCCTTACCAGGTACAGTTAACCGGTCCCACTAGGCAATCGTGGAAACCAACTACACAAACAGACCCTCCACCCACACTGCAGCCGCCGTCTGTGACAAGACGTGAGGGCTGATATGCTCTCCCCAACTTGAGGTACGAAAACGGATATGGAGGAATGGAATCGTGCCGAAGGCTGAAGGTGCTCCACACAGGGACCCCATGATGAGCCCGCCCCCACCACACTCAACGAACCAAAAACAACGAAAAATTCTAATCAAACTAACGGACAGTCTAAGAGTGCACCCACCACGAACGCAAGGCAACGACGGACTCGAACGCGTGACCCATGGATTCACAAAGCTTCCGGCTGCTGGTACCTCAGCTAAACCACACCCAAGGGACACAAGGCAAGAACCTAGACAGTGCTTCGTCCCAGGTACATGGACATCGGGCCAAAAACGGAAGGATGGGCTCTTCCCGTCGTGAAGATTGGATCCCTTCGGGAAATGTTCGCACTTATTGCAGACAGGTCATGTCTGACTTGTCGACCCTTCCTTTTTTGGCGGCAGTCATCATTATGACATGCGTACGAGACACAAAACATTTACCGAATAAAAAACCCCGGGAATACTACGAATGCCATTTAGAGTGTGAGTATGCCAGAGGAAGGGGGGGGGCATGGCGGACGGCGCTAGAATTAGCACTCCAAGTTAGCCCTACCGGCGTAGGCGTCGGTTCGGCTTGCTTTGACGGTACCACCACGATACCGTGAAGGGCGGGAATATGGGTCCTACTCGGCAAGACCGAGGAACCGCCCGCAGAGACGAGGGATATCCATACTCCTAAGCCGACCATACTGTAGGGAGATGGCGATGACGTTTTGAAGAATTCTAACTTGATTGATGTGAATTTGGCGAATCAGAGAAGGACTAGACGGGTGCGCGCCAGGTCCGGCGCTCACCTTTGACGAGGAAACTCCGAATGCGCTAAAAGGAAGAGCAGACGAGACGCCGACCGAGTAGGCAAGAGGGAACATAAGGAATCGAGGAAGAGGAAGGATAAAAAGAGAAGAAGCAACGACATAAGTGCGAGTGGAGAGAACGGGCCACGATGGAGAGAACCCAAAGACAGCAGCGGCAGCAACAGGGAGAAGGCTCAAATAGAGCAGGTCGTTCCCCCTCGAGGGATAGAGATGTCAGGCTAACAGAAGAAGCTCGAGTTAATATCTTGTTGACAAAGTGTTTTGAGGATGGAGTGATGCCGGAGGGGCTCGATAACAGAGAGTTCCTGGTAGAGAACGGGAGAAGGGTTTTCGAAGTCAATGAAACGATTGGCAGGATGACCACCGCATGGATTAAAAAGAGAACAGTCACAGTTATTTTTCAGGGGGCGGCCGGGATCTGTCGTTAAAAATCAGAGAAGACCTCATCCGAGCATATGAAAACGGATGGATTCGTCAACGAATTTTCGACAGAGGAGTTCGCAGAGGAAGGATACATGGGGAAGGTCCGAATATGGTATTATACATCGCTATGACAGAGGAGATCGCGCAATGGATGATAGAAAAAGGAGAGGACAAAGTGGTGGTAGGTCCTATATCTTACCCTATGTTATTCAAGTCGTGGATGACGAGAAAAGAGCTGGAGGAAAGAAGAAGAGTATATGACGAGACCAAGTTCTGGGTGATTGCGCAGAGGATTCCAATCAGAGCAGTATTCCATGTGCAAGACATGTTTGAGAAGTCGATGGGAAAAGTTATAAAGGCCTAGGATCCTGAACCAGATAAGACGAGGCCAAAGTTTATGAACAGGAAGTACGATTTGGTTAAGGAAGCAGAAGGCAATTTTCTATCGGAACTCCCGATGAAACTCGAAGACGGGGAGATCGTCACAATTAAAGTGGTGTGTAAACACACACCATGGTGCGAGAGATGTCGTTGGTGGTTTCATACGACCACAAGCGGATGTCCAAAGCTTGCAGAACAGAGTAATCAAGCACTGGGTGAAGGCGAGACGGCTGACAATTTCGTCGGGAGAAGGGAAGACAATCGAACTTCTCCAAGACAGCGCAGGATTCAGGAGGCTGCAAGGGATTTGTCCAAGAGTATCATACAAGGAAGCCGACAAGGCCCCCAAGCACGATCAGGGGTTCCAAGAGGACGAGAGATGAGTATTGAACAAGGGCAATACAGGCAGATCGGAAGACCCGAATACGATCCAGTCAGCAACGCGATCAGATCCAGTGCTCTTCAGGGAGGTGTAGGACTACAACCTCAGCATGGAGCTTTCACACCTTACGTGAACAATGGAACATTTCGCTGGCATCAACAACAAGCAGCGGGCATCTGGCGAAACTCATACTCATGGCAGCTGGCAGGGGGAGCGCTGCCCCAACCAGGCCCCCTTGGAGGAACGTATCCGGCTCCTGGTATTCAAAGCACGAGTCCAAGAGGTTTGGGGCTGTTATAGTACTCATCACCCCCTAAAGGAGGACGCCAAAACGGTGGGAGGAGCAGTACACTGCAACAGCCTTCCGGAAGAAATGCTGAACAAATGCCGACAGAAGTGGTCGTGAGGCTGCAGCACCCGGAACCGATAATGGATGTGGAAGACCCTAACATGCTGGGAAAACGAAAGGAAAGAAGCGCCACCGTGGGAGCAAGCGTGGCAACATCGGAAGGATCAACTACGCAACATGGAAGGCAGTCGAACTCAGCAGCCATGATGGAAAGGGAGCAAGAGGGAGAATCAATCAGAGAAATTCCAGAAGGCGTAAGGACTGTGGAAAGAGGGGAAAGGGAACACGAGGAAGCTTTCCTTCTCCATTTTGTATGTGCGATCCATGGCCAAGATGTATACGTTATTGGACTGACGGCGCAGGATGGCACGATGGTATTACCAGCTGTACCCCTCCAAGGGCTGGCCTCTCCAGAAGTGATCGCAACGCAGATGAGGAGAATGTATAGCGACCGCTTCCAATACAGGATATTCCCGGACGATATGATGCCGAAAATCCTGGTGGATCTACCGGGGGGTCGAAGAATCAGATATCCGATCCCCCTCATAAATGCAAGGCTGAATTAGGAGCAGTGGGCGGGACTGAATAGAGTAGGTCTTGAATGCATTCGCATTAGCTGCTTTACGAACGGAGAACAATCGGTTTTATCTTTGATCATGGTAGATCCAGGTATTCCAGCTTCTTTCCTCGTGCAATTGGACCAAAGGCTGCCAAAACGTCGCAATCTCACCTCCCAATATCTTGCAGACTCCCTCTGCGAATGTTGGAAGGCGACTGCGTTTGTCCCAATTGAAGGAGACGGAGGTATCCAGCCAGCAACCTCAGGGGCGCAGAGGCATGGGCAGATGTAGAATCGCTACGTGGAATGTGAATGGGCTTGGGGATTCGGGGGGAAAATGTAAGGGCTCGAGATTAAAGTCTTGGGCTCATGACAAACGAGTAGACGTGCTCCTCATACAGAAAACCAAACTCTCAGAAAAGAAGCTCGCAGAATTGAAAGACTGGTGGACTGGTCCACAGCTGTGGTCCCTGGCAAGGGGGAGCAGAGGTGGGGTGGCAGTGCTCATGCACAGAGATCTGGAAGCAGAGCTGATCGACTTCGACTCAGACCTCTGGGGGTGCTGGTGCTGGGCGAAGCTCGGTATCGGTCAGGAAAGTTGGGTTTTGCCTGTATTTATGCTCCAAACGATCCACAACCCAGACTGGACTTCTTTGAGTCACTACCAAAGGTCCTCCCAAATGTTGAATTTCTGGTGATCGCTGGGGATTGGAACCAGATCTCTGCACCAAGACTAGACTCGGAGAAGGATGATGGGATGAAGAAGGACAGGAGTTATCTTATGAGATGGAGGGAAGCGTGGGCAAGGGATATATTCAGAGACAGAAACCCCGGGGATCCAGGGTTCACATGGTTTGGGAACCCAGTCACTGCCCCAAACACGAAGAGGAGACTCGATTATTTTTTGTTGTCAGAGGAAGCCAGCAAGCTAACTATAAAGGTGGAAACTCAGAGCGCTTCACTGTCGGACCATAAGCCAGTAGTGATGGACATATCCCTGGGGCAGAAGATAGAACGAGGGTCGGGGCTGTTCAGGCTGAATGTGCAGAACTTGGAGGATGATGGTTGGAAGCAGTGGTTTGCAGTCTTTTGGAGCTCATGGAGAGAGTCGCAGTCAGAGTTTGAATCGATTGCAAAGTGGGTAGACAAGGGGTTGAGAATTATTGCAAGGAAGTTTGATGTGTTCTCAAGGATTGCAGCCAATCAGAGGAACAGCGAAGAAAGGAGACGAAAGCAACGGGTGGAGGAAGCAGAACGAAACATGACAGGCCATCCAGTTTCTGAGGTTGTCTGGGGCATGGAGAGAGCGAACAGGCTAAGACAGTGGGAGGAACTACAGCTAAGTAAGGAGAAGAGGTGGAGGCAGATTCTTGCAGTGAAAGGGATTGTTTCCTCGGACCGCATCACCAAAGATTCCTTCAAGAGATTACTTCCACAGAGAAAACAAATGGTAATGTCAGAGTTAGCCCACCCGCTGCTGCCCAGTATGCCAAGAGCTACATCCTTGGACGACATGTGCGAATATGCCATGATCTACTTCCAGGATATCCTTACAACAAGCCGCCAAGGAGAAAGCATTGACACTGACATGTCAACATTCGCAAACTTGTGGGACAACCTGCAGGCAAAGCTACCGGATCATATGAGGCAACAGCTGGACCGCCCTCTATCGGAGGAGGAGCTGAGACACACAATCAAAGCAATAGCCAGGGGAAAAGCCCTGGGAGATGACGGTCTCCCAATTGAATTTTATGAAGCCTGTTGGGGTACACTGGAGGCAGACCTACTTAACATGTATAATGAGATTTTGGTGGGAGGTAAGCTTGGCTCTACAATGACAAGAGGAATTATTACCCTCATGTTTAAGAAAGGAGATAAGTCGCTAGTCAAAAACTGGCGCCCTATCTCCCTATTAAACGTTAGTTACAAGATCCTGGCTAAATCCTTGGCGACCAGACTGGGAGCAGCCCTCCCGTTGTTAGTAGGTAAGGACCAGGGAGCATTTGTTAAGGGGAGGTCAATATTTGAGAACATAGTAACTGCTATTGAAGTGTTAGAGGTAGTGAGTGAAGAAGACATGGAGATGACAGTCCTCCTGCTAGACCTGGAAAAGGCCTACAACAGGGTGAACTGGGCTTTTGTAATGACTTCCCTGAAAGAAATGGGTTTTGGGGTGTGCTTCTGCCGTTGGGTCAAAGTACTATACACTTACTCCACAGCTGCAGTCATGGTGAATGGGAAGTGCTCTGCGGAATTCCCGTTGTCACGCTCACTGAGGCAGGGTTGCCCGATACTGCTGTTTGTTCTGCAGATGGAAGTGTTAGTTAATAGTATAAGGACAAACATGGTGATTAAGGGGATGAAACTCTCTGAAGAAAAGGAATGCAAAATCAAGGCACTAGCAGATGACCTCATGGCGGTCTGCACTAGCAAAGGGAACTCGTTGTCAGCCTTGAAGAACTGTTTGACGATCTACGCAGAGTTTTCCGAGGCCGCAGTAAACTGGGAAAAGTCGGTCTACCTCCTCCCGGATACGCAACAAATTCAGGTCAGCTGGGGTATGAGAAGAATTGGGAAGGGAGAGGCAAAGAGGTTTCTTGGAGTAATGATAGCCTTGGAGGACTGTTCCTCCTCTCAGGGATTAATACTTCAAGAAAGAGTGAAAAACAGGATCAGGAGTTGGGGAGAGGCGAGACATCTCTCACTCATTGGCCGCGCCCTCGCCTTAAATGTCTCGGCTTTTTCACTGTTGTGGTTCGTGGCACGCGTGAGGAAGATTCTAGAGGAATCCTTGAAGGAAATCAAGAAGATCTTCAGGTTGTTCCTTTGGAAACCATTTGCCAACCCAGGAGAGGGGTGCATCGCCAAGGTGGCCTGGGACACACTGTGTCTCCCGAAGGAAGGAGGGCTAAATTTGACTGACCTGCGAGCACAAAACTACTTGCTCTTATGTGAATGGATTCTGAAGGTGGTCGAGGCAGACCAAGATTCTGATTGGTGACCATCCTGATGAACGAATGGGGGCTCAGTCAGAGAAAAGACGTCTGGATAGCAATAATGTCAGATGTGTTCATAGGGAAATGGATCAACTCCAAGTTTTGGAAGGAGATCCTGCAGGCATGGCAAACCGTGAAACCATCAATCCGCGCTGCACCAACTTCGAAGCAGCAGGTATTGGAGCAGCACATCTTTGACAACCCCCATATCACAGACAGCGCAGGCAGTTCCATTACGGCCCGGAGAGGCACAAGCAACTTTGGTTACAAGTGGATCCAGAGAGGAGTGACGACGATCAAAGATCTGCGGAACGAGGAGACAAACCAGTGGCACGACCCCACAGTTTTGAAGGAGAAATTGGGACAACTGCCTGCACAGGAGGAAAGGGTAGAGCAGATTAAGGAATCCTTACCCGCTGAATGGAAAGCTCTGCTGGGCCCGAAGGGTGTAAACCCACCCGCTGAATGGAAAGCTCTGCTGGGCCCAGAGGGTGTAAACCCACCCGGAACTTGGTTGAGATCAGAGGATGGTACAGAGAGGTATTACAGACTCAAGAACTGGCACGACACAGTGGAAGGCAAGTGTGTGTTAGAAGTCTATGAGAAGGAATCCCTGGAGGCGCTTAGCTTGGTTAGTTTTGGAACAATAGAGAGATACGGGTTAAGCGGTCTGACAGAGTGCAGAGTGAGGGAAGGACGTCCTAAGCGATTGACAGGTAAAGGGGCGCGACAATTACCGGTAGTAGTAGGGGGTGGTAGGAGATATAGCACCCTGAGGATCGACCCCGAATCCTGGGGTTGGGAGAAGGAAGGGGAAGTAGTTATAGGGTTAGACCACATTGCGAGCACTGCCTGTATACAGCCTGCAAGAAGGAAAGTTCTGATGGAGAAACTGACAGACAGATGGAAGAAAGCCATTTTGAACTTAGATCCACCCAAGGAAACGGAACTCCAGTCTCTTTGGAAGCAATTTAAGGAGATCCCATCACAAAAGTTGGCCTCTTTGTTGTGGATGCAGTCGCATATCGTGGTGCCCACTGCAATGTGGTTACGGAACAGGGGAATGGTGGATATAGATCCAAAGTGTGGGAGATGTGGGTGGCTATATGAAGATGTGAAACATCTGTGATGGGACTGTCCTGTGTCACAGAGGAGATGGAAGTGGTGGTTCTTCCACTGGAAGGAGATCACTGGAAGAAATAAATTTGTGGAGGAGAGATGGGTCCTAACAGGAGCTGTACTAGAGGGTGAACCAATCAAGGAAGGGTGGGGGTACATTGCACAGGTCTCCAGAGCAACCATGATGTGGGTATTATGGAAAGAGAGAAACTCGAGAAGATTCAATGGGGAAGTGATGGCAGAAAAGCAGATCGTGGAACTCTTCAAAGCCCACCTGGCAAACGAAACCAGAGCAGACTGGCACCGGTGATGTAACAAGAAAGAAAGAATAAAGGGTCTGGCTTGGTTTCGGAAGACCTGGGCAAACGGCTCAAGTTTTGCAAGTATTGTACAGGGAAAATTGGTGTTAGCACCTTGGCTGTTGGGAGCGAACAATTAGCAGGCAATCACTATAATTATATAGGCGGTGGAGCAGTAGGGGTACAGGAGAAGTAAACTCCTGACGTTAAGCTCGGTTGAGAGGAAGTACCCACCTTTCTGAATTGTGTGGTGTTTCTGCCTTGTGGTTGTTTTATTCATAGAACCAGGTGCACTCGATTCCAGTCGGCAATCACAGTAGATTGCAAAGGGTAGGGTGGGTAGGAGAGTGCCAAGAAAAGAAATGGAACAGACGTTCCTCCCGGTTGGAGTAGACCGGGCCGGGGCCCTGTTTAGGCCTGTCTAGTCGGCTAGGAGTAGAAGTAGTGGTAGTAGTAGTAGTAGTAGTAGTAGTAGTAGTAGTAGTGGTATTAGTATTTGGTTGTGCAAGGAACATGAATATGGACGAAGCACAGAAATCCAGAATGCAATATCACACTGAAGTCCAAGTAGTCAAAGCCAAAGCAGATAGCACAATGGAATCGAGTAACCATCCAATTGAGAATGATACAGAAGAATCGTGAGTCAATGTCCATGSCCAACAGGGCAACACCAACAGCATAACCCAATGTAGCTCTCTCTYATGAATGGCGCCAGGCGCCCTATCTACTCTACAGCCTAGCCTACAACTACAGCAATGAAAGCAACCAGACAACTTGACTACCAGCGAGTGATGATGTCAACACCAATGCCGACCTCCACCTCCACCAGGTAYRTKTCCTCTTCACCCACACTCTCCCTTGTACCCACACAGCGCCCTTCACCTCCGAAGAACCACCTTCGCCCTTCACCTCTCCTGMACCCTCATGCGGCCCGGYTATGGCCGCMAGTGCCTTGCATGCAGSCAGCGCCCTAYCGCCTAGCGCTAGCCTGCTTCACCTTAGCGCAGCGCAGCTCTGCACTRCGCAGCACACATGCATCCGCGCAGCGTGCCCGCAATGCCARCATTGGCCAAGATCCCTGCCCACTCGCCCTGCTTGCCTATATGCCAGTGCAGCGTGTGGACGGCCTCCCTTCAGCCTGTGACCGGGGCCCAGAGGCTGAACCCAGCCCGATACAGTTGAGCCCCGGGGCAATGCAGTTGCGCCTCCTTCATCAAGGCCTGCGGCCAGATTCAGATAGTGGGCCCATTTCCCTTTGGCATTTTCGGCCTCTATACCCAGCATGCATTGTCGGCCTCACATTCGAGTGCCCAGGGCCTAACTAACTCAGAGGCCCTGGGCTTTCAGCATTTGCTGAAATCCGAGACTGGGTGCACTCCAACCAACTGGCGTGCTGCAACTGTATGGACCCCACTTCGTGAAATGTTGGCTCAGAGGGCTCTTGTTGATTTGCTGGCCGGCCTTCACTTAGGGCGGGCACGAGGCTTGCTGGGGCCTTAGCCCAGAACATGTACATCATGGCAAGGCCCCTACTTGAGGGCTCAATCCTCACAGTCGCCAGCAGATATAGGAAGGGAGGTTGGAACGAATGAAGTAAAATTTAAAGTGTGCCATTGGTGAGAGAATTTGTGGCTCAGTAATTACTGGCCTTGATTCTTTTTATCGAATATGAATTACTGGAAAAAAAAAAAAAAAAAAAAAACGAATGCCATTTAAAATTGTGTTTCTTTTTTTTTTTCGATTTTAAAATGCCTTTTATGGGTGTCACACGGTTGAGTTGTCTCAACTAAACGGTGCAAGTGGGACAAGGCCCCGGGTCGGACAGCGCTAATTCGTGTGTACTCCAACACTACAGTGACTCGCCCATCAAGCGCGCACAAGGAATTTTCGAATTTCGAAACGCACACGCTTCGAGTCACGAAACGGGGCAAGTGCAGCCACGCCTTCGGGCGTGGCGGGAAGCAACCATAGCAGGCGCGCCATCATCACAGCCACCATTGACGCGAACCCGACAAAGACACAATGAAGACAACTACAGAAGCAACCAGAATTCCATGCGGCCAACAGGGGACAGACAAAAGGCGAAGGCGACGAGAATAGAAAGCAATCGAGGAGGGAGTTCGGGGAGAAGCAGGAGAGAAGAAGGGAAAACGAACACGACAACAAGACCGCAACAAGAGGAGAAAGGGTAGAAACAAGGTAGAAGAGGCGTTCGAGAGAAGAGAGCATTTGATATGAGAAAGGACAATTGACGAAAGGGGAGGGAATGTAGACCCAAGGGAAGGGAGGAAGGATGAAAGGAAGGATACAGGGGAGTACTTCATTATTATCCCAAAAAGACAGGAAGGGCTAATAAAAGGAAGATCCCGAGGAAGTCACGAGAGGACGTCCTGAGAAGGAGAAACAGGCAAGAGAGGGAGTTTCCAGGCAAGTAGAAGTGGGCAACAGGAGAGGAGGTTCTAATACAAGGAAAGTGACAAGAAGAAAAACCAGGAAAGGATTGTCGAAACTTCCACGGGAGAACAAGCTCCTAGACGAAATCCAAGTGGGCGGGAAGGAGAATCTCACCAAGCATCTAAAGCCCATATCAGGGGCATCGTAAAGGTCATCAGAGAGAGGAAGTGAAGACAAAAGCGAGAGAGCCAGCCGCGTTCTTCATATAGCGGACAACCACGAGGCCACCAATCGGATTAATCGTACGCTTCTCGCGCGCATCTTGCCACAACCGCCCACCCCCACAGATAGATAAAGATTTTAGTAGAGAAATTATCTCACATCCTCCCCCATCACCCGACACCTCCCCTCATCCCTCAACGCCACCACATCCCTACTTTTTACAACGCACGACCCTGGCTTGTTGCTGGTAAGACACTGCAGGTTGATTGTCTGTCTCGTTTTTGTTCTCGGTTCGCGGACAACAGAAGATTGTTGACTCCCCTCTTGTCCAATTCATCTTCCCGTAGGACTTTGTATAACCAGAGCCTCGAGTATCTTCTGCGTTCGTACAACTCAATTCGATGTTTCTCTAGGAAGGAGACTCGTGTAACGTTGCATAGTGTGTTGGCTAGGGTGCTAAAAACTAAGTTCAAATTTGATATAAAGATTAAACCTATTATTTGTATGCCTTATGATGATGCTTTTTTGAAGTCTAAGCTTCGAATTCTCTGTATTTGCACTGTTTGCTCATCATCCATTTGCTTACCTCTTCACGATATCATCTTTCGTCGTCTTCACATCGTCTGTCCAAAGAATAAGCCGCTAGGTGGTTTCTCCACAATTTCTAGCAGTATTGCAGATCTTCGTCTCTTTGTTCTACATGCGTTGATTCTGCATTCCATACCTCTCAGGAGCATGTTGCTTTTCGTTTCGTTAGACTTTCCGCCCCTACTGACTAACTCTAGGAACATACCGTATCCCAACTTCCGCCGTAATCTCTCTCTTCTACAAAGTACTAAAATAGAGGCACTATGTGATGTACAGAAAGATACTTCTCTTCTGTCTCTTTCGAAAACTGAATTGCAAAGTTGTTTCACAAATCGGGCTGGTGTGCCCTCTTGCTGTGATGTTTCTTGGTACTGGAACATAAGGATGTCTCTCGCTGGAGACCTATCTGTCCGTCTTGCTCTGATCCATTGGCGCGTCTTAGTAGAGTAATTTCTAAGGTGGTTAATCATCATTTGTCAACTCTAGTCTCGTCCGAATGATGATATCCTTGCTGCTAGTTTTGATGTAAAAGAGATGTTTTCTAACCTACCCCATTCGTCCATTATTAGCGCATTGGAATGGTTGGTTTCACAGTTTGAAGAGCAGGGGATCTAATTAGGAAACGAGGGAAGGGTGTTAAGTTGTCTTTACACTACAGAAGTTTGAAGAGCAGTTTGCAGAGCAAGGGATTAAAGAGGTTCACAGCCATAAAACCCAGTGTGTGGGTGTGTGAGCAAGGACACTGCAGCAATGCAGGGGTGTGCTGGATACAGTTCCACTTCTATAGACCGTGTCATGGCTGTAGTGGTCAACAGATTTGGCTCTTGTGGCTAAGGCGTGGGTTCGATTCCGTGTGTGGCAGGGATGGATCTGAGGCCAGAAAGTACTCGCGTTGTCTTTACACTTTTGCTTCTTGGCTTTCCAATAGACAATACTGGAATCTCTCTCTCTCTCTCTCTCTCTCTCTCTCTCTCTCTCTCTCTCTCTCTCTCTCTCTCTNCCAACTGGCGTGCTGCAACTGTATGGACCCCACTTCGTGAAATGTTGGCTCAGAGGGCTCTTGTTGATTTGCTGGCCCGCCTTCACTTAGGGCGGGCACGAGGCTTGCTGGGGCCTTAGCCTAGAACATGTACATCATGGCAAGGCCCCTACTTGAGGGCTCAATCCTCACATTCCATCCCCCTTAGCTTCGAAAGTCCGCTGAGATGCTTACTTCGCAGGTGCCTTCCCTTTCAGTAGCCTCTCATATTCTTCCACCACCTGAGGAACTGTCTCAATCAGTTCCTCCCTGGTAAACCATCGATCTTCTTTCGGATCCGTATGATGTCTGAACCTGACGCGGTACTCTCTCTTGGGTTTAGGAGGTCTTCCTCGACCCAACGGCTTCGGAATAGGCATATCCCTGTGATCCACAATGTCGTCGATGTCCACTTGTCCATCCATGGTTGGGGGCAGCATCGATCTCCTGGAAGGGAATTGATCTGTCTCAGCGAAAGGTGCAAGCTTTGAGGCATGAAAGACTGGGTGAGTGCGTAGGTGTCCAGGGACACGAACGACATACGTGGGACCATCCATCTCATCTCCCACTATATCCAGGACTTCCCAGGGACCAAAATACTGAGGCATTAGTTTGCGAGAGATTCCGAACTCCTGTCCTAACTCACTAGCCTTGACCCAAACTCGTTTCCCTACTTGAAATGTGGACTGTCTGCGATGTTGATTCTCAGAAGCAATCATTGCTTGCTGAGCTTTCTTCATATGCTCGACAACCTCCAACTTCTCATACTGCACACCATACTCTAGTGTGCCTGGAGTTGCAGCGGGTCGGTTTCAGGTAGGAGGAAGTCTAGTGCTGATCTAGGCTTCCATCCCAAGTGCAACTAATTAGGACTAACGTCGGTACTACTATGGATAGCATTGTTGTACAAGTTGGCGATGAGAGGCAACTGCTCATCCCAATCATCTTGGTTGGGCTTGATGTAATGCCGCAACAAGTGCTGTACAACTCTGTTCATTTGTTTTGCTTGTCCGTTGGCTTCGGGATGATTCCCTGAAGTCATTTGAAGTTGACTGCCCATCTGTTCTGCAGTCTTCTTCCACAATTCACTTGTGAATCGGACATCTCGGTCACTAATGATTGACTTTGGTAAACCAAAGTCACGCACCCAGTTGTCTTTGAACAACTTGATGACGAAGTCAGTTCTTGCGGTCTCTGGCATAGCCACTAGTCTAGCGTACTTGGTGAATCGGTCAATGATGACGAAGATATGCCTCTTGCCACTCTTACTAGTCACCAGGGTGTCCATGAAATCCGTAGAGACACTCTGTCCCGGACCAACAGGAATAGGCAAAGGCTTCAACAACCCAAGCGGTGCTTGAGCTCGCGGCTTATCCCGCTGACAGACCTGACAGGTCTCTACGTACTTCTTTGCGTCATCAAACATACCAGGCCACCAAAATCGTTGTACTAAGTTAGCACTCGTCTTCTTGTAGCCAAAGTGCCCAGTTGCGTCATGACATTCACCTAAAAATAAACTACGCAAGGGTTCACTAGATGGAACTACTAACCTTTCTATTCCTGCCTTATCAAGATAGAGTAACCCGTCCACCATCACAAACTCGCTTTCTGTGGCCTTGTCTTTTGCCTGAAGCTTGCGAATGATGTCCATCGTGACAGGGTCTTCCTGATAGGCTCCCACCAATGATTGAGTTACTTCTTCAGATACGCCAAAGTCAGAAACTAGCGCACCTAGGTAGTTTACTCTACGTGATAGCGCATCAACAACCTTGTTATACTCTCCCTTCAGGTACTCAAGCTTGAAGTCATATTGGTCTATGACCTCAATCCATCGCTTGAGGGTGTCAGAAAGAGTCGGTTGCGTCTTGATCCATTTGAGGGTCTGATGATCAATCCTCAAGTAGAAGAACCTTCCTAGAAGGAAGTGTCTCCAATGGACAAGTGCTTTATACAGAGCATAGAGTTCCCTCTCATAGGTGGACTTTGCCAACTTCTTCGATGGCATCTTCTTGCTCATGTACTCAATCGGTCTCAACTTTTTCCCATCCTGCTAAGCCAGCACTGCGCCAATGCCGTATTGGCTTGTGTCAGTGGTCACTATGAATGGCTTCTACGGATCGAGAACCATGAGAACCTCATGATTCATGAGTGCATGCTTCAATCTCTTGAAAGCACCCTCACAATCATCACTCCAGTCCCACAGTGTGTCAAGTCGAGTTAGATCAGTCAAAGGAGAGGCGACTGTAGAATAGTTCTTTACGAAGTTCCTATAGTAGCCGCACATTCTTAAGAATGATCTGACCTCAGTGACTGTCTGAGGCCGTGGCCAGTCGCGAATACTAGCCACCTTCGCATCTTCCGGCCTAATTCCCTCCGCGGATACTTCATGACCCAAGTATAGTATCTTGGTGCGACCAAACTCGCACTTCTCTAAGTTGACCTTATACTTGTGCTATCGCAGGAGTGAGAGTACCTTCTCATCATGTTGTGCGTGCTCCTCGGCAGACTTACTAAAGATCAGAATGTCGTCTAAGTAGACCAAGACAAACTTATCTAAATGGTCACGGAAGATCTGATTCATAGCGTGCTGGAATGTACCCGGCGCATTGCAAAGACCAAAGGGCATCACTACAAACTCATACAGACCGTATCTGGTCTGAAAGGCTGTCTTATGTTGGTCCTCAGGTCTTATTGCGATTTGATGATATCCGGATTTCAAGTCTATCTTACTATAGTACTTGCATCCCTGCACCCTATCCAATAGGTCGTCTATGCGATGTAGAGGCTCTGCGTTCTTCACTGTGATGGCATTGAGGCCTCTATAGTCAATGCACATCCTCAAAGTACCCCCCTTCTTTGGTACGAATAGCACGGGTGATCCGTAAGGGGAAGTACTAGGCCGAATCCAACCCTTCTCCGTTAGCTCCTTAAGCTGTCGCCGAAGTTCATCTAACTCGACAGGGGCCATCCTATAGATCCTTCCCTTTGAGGTCTTACTCCCTGGAATGATTTCTATAGCGTGGACGACTTCCCTTTCAACAACTCTTGTGGGCTCCTCGAACAGGTCAGGGAACTTAGCAACGACATGTTCTATCGCTGGGGGTGTTTTAACGGCCTCCCCTTTCTCAGAGACATACACAAGGTACATACCCTCCTCTTGGTTTTGCTTGTAGTAATTATAGAACGTTGATGCGCACAAGCAGCCATTGACAGTTCGGCCATCAGGCAAATTATGCTTGAGCACCTTCTTATCCCAATCGAACTGGGGCTTAGCAACTTCGAGGTAGTACATGCCTAATAACATGTCAAATGGTAAGTCGTCGCTAACCAAGAACGAGATCTTATGGTTAAGCTCACCTCATCCATAGGAGAAGGTACAGACTACGTCCTTGATGTAGTCTGTTACAATCATGCGCTTTGACCACTAACTCTCTAAGTCTTCTAAGGCTTCAGACACATCTAACGTACAGAGCATAGTTTGGTCTAGTTGTGTCTGCGGGGTGACTAAGGGGTCATTAGCCTTGGCCTTGTCATGAAGTGGTGAGGGTATCAATCCCACTTCATCTTGAGTAGAAGCAGCTATTACTTCCACTGGCCTCACGTGTTTCCCGAGCTAGAAGCCTGGGAATAAGTTGCCCCCATCTTTGGAGCAACCTTTTGCGTAACCTTAGCGTTCTGGCACTTGTACTGCAAGTGTCCGTACTCTCCGCAGTTGATACAAGCGCCACGCGTTCGGCGGTCACGCCACACGTTTTGATCAAGACCTGCCTTAACCCATTCAGCCTGCTTGGTCTGATTGGAGGCGTCCTTCCCTTGACCCCTTGGTTGGCCCTTCCCTCGGCCACCGGCCTTAGCCTTTACTACTGCGGCGAGGGTGCTACCCTCAGCTACCTCCTCGCCGTTATACTCTGAATAGTCCACCAGGTCAGAGAGTTCGTCGATCTCAGTTTGAGTCCCATCGGACTCAACCATCATCAACTCCGCCCCCTTCTTCTTCCACTCCTGGGGACTCTTCTTCTTTTTCGAGTCATTCTGAGAGGTAGGTTGAGCATTGCCTAGCGTGGCCTCCAAATCTAAGGCTTTCCTATACAATGTCTCAAATGAGTGATACTCGACGCGTGCCTCACTGGCCAGCAAGTTTCTTATGTTCTCTGGGAGACATCTGACAAATGTTGTCAATAGGAACTGATTGCTGTAGTTAATGCCTGGGACGAGGATCAGGCTCTCAACGGTAGTCGTAAGCTCTCTAACCGATTTGAACTTTCGTTGGTCCAGTTTGTTTATAGCATCAGTGGCCTTTTGTGCCTCCTGTGGGTTATGCCATTGAGCTTCTACCATTTCCATGAACTGGTCTAACGTTAGAGACTTAGCCCAGTCCGCCATGCGTCTCCCATACCCTGCCTTGATAACTACACCATCTAACCATTTGGCTGCCTTACCCTCGAGGTAAGACGCCGCAGTTACCACTTCATCCTTCAACAAGGTCCTCTTTGCCTTCACCCAAACTGGGACCGTTCTCAACCATGTGTTGAGTTCTTCGCCCTTTCCCTCACCTGAGAAGGCAAGGGGCGGTTTCATTGGGGTCTTAGGATACCATTGACCCTGCGGCTGTCCAGATTGTTGAACAGGTTGTTGCGGTGGTGTAGCTCCCACCGCTAGACCCGAAGAAGAAGATGCAACAGTCTGTGCGACTGCTGCAGATGTACCACTTGGTTGTGTACCAGCTTGAACTGGAAAGGGGCCTGACATCGCCGATAACGGCAATGGCGATTGTGCTGGTGGCCGGAATCCTGGCCTGGTCAATGCGTCCAGGATCTGGTCTAGAGTGCTTTGCATGAAGTCTAATCTGCTGTCCACGTGCGCATGCAGCGACAACATATTCTTCTTCAATACTTTCAGTGGGTCAGTCAATGCTGACTCATCCAAGCCCTCTAATTCAGCCTTGTCAGCCTCTAAATTATCAAGCCTGGCTGCTCTATTTTTTATCTCTCTTTCTCTATCGGTTGCCTTTTTCAGGTCCTCCTCTAACTTCTGGCGGAGCCTCTCGACCTGTTGGATCTCCCTGAGCTCCCTCTCACGTGGGGTCAACGGGCTGAACTGCGAGCCCGCCATTTGACTAGAAGACTGTCTAGAACCTGTTGAACCAGAAGTGCCCATGGAACTAGTGGAACTTAGTGGCATTCCCAAATGAGTCCCATTAGTCCCTAACGAGGACGCAGACGATAACGCAGCAGAGCTTGCGCTGTTAGCCATTGCTGCTGCTCTGGCTGCTGTTGCCTGTTCTCTTGCTACTCTGTTTGCTTCCTGTAGTCCTGCTGCTAGAGCACGGGCTCTACGTTCGGCTATAAGCCGTCTTTCTTCTCCCGGTTGTAGGGCCTGGAACACGTGCGATACCCTTAGTGCCTCTGCACGTGTTAGTCTCCTATTGTCAACTCTATCATCAACAGCGTCTGACCCACTCATTAGTTAGGCACATAGTATCTGCACTAGAATCCCCTAGTGCAATCCTACCGCAGCATGTGTCTGACCGACACCTAATTTTCTAAATATAGTTGTGTCGGGCGAGTCCCCTACTGTACCGAATCAAGTGGCATGTCTACAACATTCACATTGTCTACATTGTCTAGATTTATCTCGATAGGTTCACTTACAGCAGCATTAGACAGAACTGGCTATGGTAGCATACAACAGTCATACCTAATCTGTCTGTGAGGTGTTAGCAGTCTGTCCACCAACTAATCAAAGATACAAAAAGACAATGTAGCAGATGTATGATTGATGGGTATGGTTGTGTATACAGTTGATCACCAATTGGAATCTACCCTTCCCCTCAATCCAACCATCCGGTCAGCATCTTGAGCAAAACTGTGTTTTCGTGTGTGCATCGGTCCGCCCCTGTGCCCAAGTCAGAGCCAAGTAAGCCAGCCAGCCCACTCTTATTTACCCTCGTATGGAAACGAGCCTTACACCCGAATGATCTGGCTGATCAAGAGGATTATTAAGAGTGCCCCCATCTCTTCAGGAATTCTTTAACGTCGCAGTCAGGACAACGATCACAGCCAGAATCATTCCGAGTACCCAACCAGAAATGTTTATAGACGGTCTGGTAAGCGTCTCATACAAGGCTGGCACACTTGGCAAGACTTCTATCTGAGCGCAGCAAGTGCCAAACAGGACAACAGCCATCGCATGTGTGCACTACTCCCTGTGGGTTGGCATGGTGACCGTGACCCAGTGCTTCGACCAGGGCCCTTCAGAGGCATCGCCCTTTCTCCTTCCAGATGCTTCCGGGAAGATTGTCGTCTCTCAAGGTAGCGCGCTCACGACACCTTGGACTCACTTTTTCATGGTAAGAAGAGATTGAGGAGGTAGATAAGGTAAGGGATCAACATACCTGGAGATAGCTGCCCCCAACCACAGATTTCTCACCAATTGAGCTGAAGTTGCATTTGATGACCGGTCCTGACCTCGGTACCACCCACAACGCAATGCAGTGCCACCTTAGTCCAATGCCACATCAGCATGCTCTCATCATCAATCAAACATTCCGCTGTAACCCACGGCATACACCGCCGTAATAGCCTTCCGGTGCACCCCTCTCTACCCAGGGCGTGCACCTAACGTGGCCTGACGTCACAAGTACCCACTGCGAAGAAGCATCGTCAACGCACCAAGTCTGTATAACGCCAGCATGCCGAAGGTAAGTGGCGA